TATCATAAAGGATGAACCTCAGGTTTCCCAAGGACCAATGGAACAATTAAGTGGGAGGAAATAAATTGAACTATAATCACGAGTATTTGAATTTTGCCCAATGTCCCCAAACTTCACACACTCCCCTTCTGGTTTTTTCTATTTTCCTAGTTCGGGTTTTGCTCAATCATGGTGCCCGTTTGGCAATAGTTTCACGGTTTTGCTTGAGTATTTTGAAAAATTTGTACAAGTTAATTTGTACCATTTTAAAACACGGAATAATTTATAATGTTAACGCCACTTGAAAACATCATTCCTAGCTAGCCGTGATCACGGCGTGCATGAATTGTGGAGTTTATTCATATGCTAACGCTAATTGAAAGCGTCATTTCTAACTAGGTTGTGCATGAACTATGGAGTCTAATCATTGAATGAAAAGGAAAAAAAATATTTGTAGAATCTAGCAATGAGTGACCTGACTGACCTCTGATAGTCCCTTTAAACTGGTTGTTTCTTTCTCTCTTTTTTGTATTACAAAATGGGTAATTTCTAATTCGATCCTAGTATATTTCTTTTGAAAACCAAATAAGTTCTCATTCATTCAATAGTGGTAATACAAATCCTAGAGTAATGGACCAACTACCACACTCTAGACGCACTCTTCTAGCTAATTCATGAGCCACCTTATTTGAAGAGCGACGAACAAACGACAAATAAGACAAGTTAAATTCCGCTAAGATAGATGTTAAATACAACAAACAAAAAAATATTTTTTGAATATAAACTTGTACATTTGTATTTGTTATGACACATTTTTAAATTTATAAGAAGAATATGAAGAATTAGTTTGTATATTAATAAGATAAATGTAATTCTATTTAAATAAGAAGAATTTACTTAAATAACACTAAAACATAATGACTTTCCCTAGATAGTATCATACGTGTTTTTTTCCCAATGTAGCACTTTTAGTCATTATCCATTAATCATTATTCAAGTAAATTTCGCCATTACTGGACATTGTTCCTCCTTCTGGTCATTATAAAGTGTATTTAGGAACGGCCTGGTTCCATGGCCACTAGAATCCAGTGGCCACAGAAGCCACTGCCCCCCTATGAAACTTTGTTCATAAAATTGATGATTCCTACCCCCCTAACCCCCTGGTAAACCCCCCCGCTAAGTCCCGACCCAAACTCATCACTCCACCTACGTCAATTGCACCTCGTAAGCATAATTGACTTTAAAGTCAAAAGTCAATTATGCTTACGAGGTGCAATTGACGTAGGTGGGGTGATGAGTTTGGGTCGGGACTTGGCGGGGGGGTTTACCGGGGGGGTTAGGAGGGGTATGAATCATCAATTTTATGAACGGATTTTCGTAGGGGGGCAGTGGCTTCCAGTGGCCATGAAACCAGGCTGATTTAGGAAATAAAACAGTTTAAGTGCTATTTGTGGAAATGACTTAAGTTTTAGTGTTATTTAGTGCAAATATTTCTTTAAATAATGTAAAGGTTACATTATGAGACTAGTCGTAGTTCGGTCGTGATCTAGTCTTCTTACAAAAGATCACCGGTCTCAGACCGGTCTAGTCCTTCCCTCAATTTTGAGGACCAAATAGGACTACTGGTCCACGACCAGATCGGTTCCAAGGACCACTTATGTCCCAATCCTTTCGGTCTGATCCTGATCTATCCTGGTCGATTTTTTCAGTTCTAATCTTTTTGCTCTTCTCTATTTACAATCTATTCTCGGTAATTACTCTCTTACACTCCGATGAATTATGTCATGTTCTTTTGGGCTGGAAAAATTAACTTCTGATTTCTTCTAACTTCTTCCAACTCATTCCAGTTTCTTCCATCGACTTAAAATTGTTTTTGTATATGATTAATATAAAATAATACTCTCCCCGTCCCGTTTTAAATCGTCTGTTTTGACTTTTGGGCATATTTAAGGAAAAGAAAAAATAGAATTGATTTTTGGAAATTGTCATTACTTTTTAGAAGGGGTGACTATGAATTAGAAGATAAGGTGAAGAAGGGTGACTTATTTTAGGAGTAGTTTAGGTATTTTATTTTTAAAAGTTTACGATAACAACTAACATGCAACTTATTTTGGAACGGAGAAAAAAGACAAACATGCAATTTAAATTGGGACAAATGAAGTATTATATATCAAACTTATAACATATCACCCTTCACCCCAAACACGAACAATGCTGTATTTTTTTATCCAAAATTAAAGTTTTCTTACATATTTATTTGGACGATCATTCAATTGAGTAACTTTTTAACACTTAAATTCTTCCAACATTTTCCAGCTCTTTCCAATTTTTCCAGCTCCTTGCAGTCTCTTTCAATTTCTTCCAGTTTTTTCCAACATTTAACTCCGTATAATCTATGTCTTCCAAAATCCAAAATTACTTCTACGAGTATTAAACAATCATTAGATATGTGCATTACGAAGTACAAAATTTTAAAACACACAGAGTACAATATACTTCCCATTGTATTAGTTTGAACAACAATAAATTTATAAATTAAGTAATACATGTCTATCTTAGTAGTACAAGACTTGTGACATAAAAAACAAAACAAATTAAAAATAAGAGTTTTGACTTGTACAAGGTTTGAGCCCCTACATATTTTTACATTTCAAAGACTTGTTTTGTTTACCAGACAGGTTAGCATCACAAGTCCACAACAAAAGGGTAGAAACCTTAACTATATTCTCTTCTTTCCTAAAAGAACTTCTTGCTTTCTTTTTTCAGGGTACCAAAACGCAAACAAGAATTTTTAGGGGCGAAGAGAGTAAACATAGGAATTACGTACCTACTCGGGCAATAAAGGCAATGTATCAAGAAAATAGGGTGACCCATCAGTTTCGTTTCGGCTATTTTCTTGCGAGGGACTATGGAAAGGCATAATGCGGAGGCGGGCATCTGATTCTGCCCCAATTCTCTCTGATGTCAGGTTATATTTGGAAATGAGGTTCGTTTGGAGAGATATGATACTTGATGGCCGAGGAAGTAGCTCCACTGGTTCCCCTATGGGGATCACTACTCGCTCGATGGCTATCCTTGCCTCCTATGAATAACAACAAGCCGTTAATTAAGTTCCCACGAGTGGTGGTACCCTACATAAAAAGGGTAGAGTGGTCGTTTACGAAACTCTTGACTCAGATGGTGTTAAGAAATGACCCTTTGGGACTTGGTTGTAAAAAGGGTATAATAGGGATTAGGATAGAAATAATTTCCCCTCACACTAACAACAACAACCTAGTAAAATCTCACAACAGCAGGTTTGGGGAGGGTATGTGTACGCAGACCTTACCCCTACTAAAAGTAGAGATATTTTTCCCTCACCTTATATGTGCAAAATGATTCATTTAAGAATAGTGTCCCTTTACTATATATAATCTGTTGTAAAAGATGATCACGTTGACTAAATAGGAAGGTAAAGCTCTTGTTCCTTCTATATACCAAGACGTATTTCATCGATAACACTCATGTTCCTTCTCTACACCATGGTGTACACAAAGTGTTGCCGGTGAAAGTGTCACAGCGATAATTTTGTTACCAGCGAAAATTGCACACGCCGATAATTTTGTAGGAAAGCGTCTTGGTGCACACCATGGCGTAATCCATGGTACACATGGGACATAAAACAACGATAGACAAAAAGTGCTCCCATAAGATGATAGGATATTCTCGTTAGGGATTGTTTAGCTAAGTGTTTGGGAGCATTTTGGCTCCTGCTACACTGTATTAAGTACAATTCTAAACGTCAAGAACCCAGTGAAGCATTTTGGTAGTGTTTTGAAAAACAAAAATCTCAACAACAAACCCAACAAAGGCCTATAAGTAGGGCCAGTGAGGGTATGTGTACGCATATCTTACCCCTAAATAGTAGTAGAGACTAGAGAGGTTTACAAAAGACCTTGGCTCAAACATAGAAGCACAAGCAAACATGCAAACAAAGAAACCACAGTAAGATGAACAAAGTAAGAACACAAACAAAGAAAGCACTCATACCAACACTAGCAACTCAGACCCAGAGCACAGAGAGCACACAAGCACAAGCTACAGGTTCCAAACTAAGACCCAAAGGTCTACCCAACTACTATAATCATATACCTCCATGTGTTCCTATGTAAGGAGGCATCATCTTTTCTGACTCAAAAGCTCTAAAATCAAGGACCTAAAGCTTTTCATTAGGCTACATAAAATTGGTTTGCAAACTAAAAATTCACACACACACACACAGTCACACACACAAGAGAAAAAAGATTCACCTCCAAAGCATCCATCTTTTCTGACTCATTCACCTTGGGTTCAGATTCAAAAAATATAGAACCATCAGCATAATCAGCCACTAGAGCCTCTATGGCCTTGGTTATCTGAGATAAGGAACCTGTCTGCAAAACCAAAACTGCTCATTAAATATCATAATGAGGACTTAAGTATGTTTCATTACACATTCAGTCACAATCAGTATACAGGACTATTCTGGTGTCTTGTCCATCAAATAAGCCCAACTTTGTAATTTACACATTTACCTTAGAACTATATATACGAACACCGCGAGTTCTTGCAGCAGCTTGAATACCCGAATTTCTTTTGAGTTTGGATTGCAATGCTAGGAGAGCATCTGCTTCGCTGATGTTATCAGTAAATTCAATGGCATGATCAATCTTTAACTGTTTAATCCCTTGAATCACATTTGCCTCTGAGACCTAAAATATCTGCTCAACATTTAAGTTCCATAAAAGAAGCTATGCATGATTCTGCATGAAGTTAAGTAACTAAACTTCTCAGGACCATAAACGGAGAAAAAACACTTCGGAGAGAAGATGGCTTGCTGCGGACTTCCTTAATACAACTAGCAGCATAGCCGCCAGAGCTAGGAGCTTACTTGGATAATACAAAGAAAAAATCTGATGGTTTTTTAATTGTTTACATGCATTTAGATTTCCTAGGATCTGTTAGGTGAGTTCATCGTCCATTTTCAATGGAGCTAAAAAGTCATTGTTGCTAATATTTTAGTTTCGAGCACACAATGGACTAAAATAAAATGGAACATTAAGCATCCCATGTCTCTTACTTTTTGTGAAGTTTGGGCAGTAAATGCAACAATGCATCTAGGGTCTAATGGAAACAACCTCTCTGTTTGTACAGGAATAAGATTGTGTAAATCATAACCCTCAGACCACAACGGAGTTGGGATTATACTGGGTTGTTGTTTGGTGTTTGGTGAGTGCAGTAAAAATTTTAAATAGAATGAGTTTGGACAAATATATTGCTTGAGTTTGATGCAATCTCTTCCCTCCAGATTTGTTTTCCTTCCAATGTTCCTACATGTTTTCTTTCCCTAAAGTTATATGGGATCTAAATGGACCCTTAGAGGATTAACTGTATTTGCAGTAAAGAAAAGGAACTGAGTAACAGATAGTATCTTACCCCATATAGAAATAGGCAAAGGGACTCCTCATTTTTACCACAATTCCCTTCCGCACTTGGATCCATTTCCGGATTAAAATCACTGTTCAACCATGATGTGCGAACAATGGCGTCTTCACTTCTACTGTCTGTAGATTCCTGGACGGTCACCTTTCCCCTCACTTCCTCTTGTGATCTTGGATTTATTCTGTGGAGTTCAAAGCTGGGATGGCGGCCTTCTCAACAAAAGTAGAATAAATGTCAAGAAAATCTTTCATGAAATAAGAAAGAGTTGACAGCCAATCACATGATTTGGTAAGGGATTATTTGGTGGGGGATTTTGGAGGGAGAGATTGGTTTTTGTTAGGCTAATTTATCCCTATTTGTTAGTCTTAGATTGTTAAATAAGTACACCATATACGTTTAGTTATATCATGTATTTCTATATACTCTAACAATCTAATTGTAAGAATATGTTAATAAAATAAATATAACCCATCCCCTCGCCTCCCATCTGAAATCCCCCAACCAAACAAGGACTAGGAAGGAAGAGAGAGTTACACAGAACCTGAAAGAATAATGTCCACTGTGGCTTCTAAGTTATGGTGAACTCGCAACTCTGTCATGGAAATCATCTCAACACCACAGCTAAAAACCGACGGTCCTTTCCTTTCCAGTACAGACTTTTGAACACCCCGACGAATTGCTTCTTCATCACCCAGTGTAACACTCTGAAAAGATGGCAATATGATTAGTTTCAATTCATTTCTTATTTCAAGAAATGATTTTTCTTTTTACAGCTTAGGTGGATATGTGGTCATACGAGGATGAATAAGATCCGGAACGAGTTTATTTGGGGAAGGGTGGGAGAGCTACATGAGTTTTGAAAGGCTAGTCTCAGGTGGTTTGAGCATGTGAGTTGAAGAAGTACCAAAGCTCGAGTGAGGAGATATGAGAGGCTTGCAAAAGTGGGTGTGAGAAAGGGTAGAGGTAGACCTAGTAAGAGTGTTAGTAGGAGGTGATGAGAAACATTTCACGACTTCAGTATCTTTGCAAGTATATGTCTTTGGATAAGAACGTCTAGAGATCTAGTATTAGAGTAATTGGATGGAACTTTGGGCCGCAATTTGTAGTTTATGTTGGTGCATATTTACCTTAGTCTGTATCTTGTACATGTGTGCTTTCTCTGCTTTGAATCTAGTTACTAGTGTCGGTATGTGTCGTTCTTGTCTTTGAGCTCTAGTTTTGTACGTGATATTATGTTTACTTTGTCTATGCTTCTGTGCTTGAGCCATGGGTCTCTTGGAAATAGGCTCTCTTCTTCCAAGTAGGGGTAAGGTCTACGTACACACAACTTTCCTGGATCATACTTTTTGTGAGATATTATTGTTGTTGTTGTTATAGTTGAGTGAGAGAAGTTGAAGGGCCCTTTCCAGGTGTAAAGGAGTATTAAAAAAACACATGGGTATTAAAAACAGTTAATAAAGCTGCTATATTCATGTCCCATGTCAAAACTTTAATTGTAAAGTCAACATGCACATCGGGGAAAAACCTGTACACCTCCGACCAGCATCTCTAGATCTGGATTCATCACTAAATTCTCTATTGTTCCACCATGAGCAGTGGCAACTAACTGAATACCGCGTTGTGATATTGTACTTGCTGCCATTGCCTCTAGCTTAGTACCAATTTCATCTATTACAATCACTTGCGGCATATGATTCTCAACTGCTTCTATCAACACCTACAAAACAATACTTGTTTGGAGAATTAAGAAAATGCTGCACCACAACGTACAGAACAGTGAAAACACTGAATAGATGAAAAGAACAGCTGGAATCAGGCCTCAAGATGGAACTCAACGTTCGTTTTGACTCAATTTGATACAATTTAGGCTCAATATATTCCTTGATCATATTTTACTCTAATTAAGAAGGGTGCATTCATACATTGGAGGACAGATGAAAAGACCTTCTTACTTTATAACCCAATATGTACAAGGACTAAGTTAGGATCAAATGTCATAGTCAACTCGAGGACCATAGTACTTGAGGACTAAACTGACTTACAGTCAAGGGACTAAATCAGGTATTAACTCTTAGCTAGAAAAATCAAGAATCTCTGTGTTATTATACCTTGTGTTGCATGTCAGCGTGTGGAACTTGCATGCGTCGTGCATTGCCTATTCCTGCATGAGGTATATCTCCATCCCCACCAATTTCATTTGAAGTATCAACAATCATGACACGTTTCCCATAATCATTTGCAAGCATCCTAGCTATATCCCTTCGGAAATTATTACTCCATATTAGCCAGTCAAGTGGAAGACAACAGAAGCATTGGGCACATAGCTAATGGTTTTATCCCATATTGACTCCACCTCCCCCTAGATCCTGATTTGTGACTCCCCTGACATAAGGCGGATCTGCTTGAAACACATTGAGGGCATATGCCCACACTGTTTTTTAATTAAGAAATGTTTTCATATGCCAAAAGAATTTCTTTTAGAACACGGTAGCTGTTGAAAGATTTTTGTTTTTTGGTGGGGATTGAGAATGGAATAAAGGTAGTAATAAAGTGAGATATAATAAGATGACACTTTTATAGTCACATACTACGTAGTGGTTATAGCTATAAAAAATCTTCGATCCACCATTGCTAACATTGACCGTGAAGATGGCCCATCATATTTTTATATAAATACAGTCTTATATAGATATTCATGATCAAAGTATTGCATTGAAGACCATGAAAAGTCAAATAAGAAAAAAATCCAAAAGGAGATAGTAAAAGAGAATGAAATAAAACATGAATACTCACTGACCTGATAATCGTAGTTTTTCCTACTCCTGGAGGTCCAATTAGCAACATCGAAGCTCCAGCCTTAACTAAATCTTGTAAAGAGTTGGCACTTCCTGATACAGCTCGTCCCACACGGCAGGTCAAACCAATAATCTTACCTTTACGATTCCTAATGGCACTAATCCTGTGCAAGGTTCGGCTGATTCCAGCTCTGTTATCAATGGAAAAATCACCAACCTAGAACAAGATAAACCATGAGCTCCCATTTGCAGGCAATGTTACTATGGCTATAAAACTCAAAAGATCAAGCTTACTATGGTTATGTTAACTGCAAAATATAATGAACTTGACAAAGAGCCCACAAAGAAAATAGTTTAATGGATGCGATCATTGGGTCAGTGGAGAGAGCAGAAATTCCAGTTTCCACAATAAATATAAATTTATATCGAACCAATCAAGAGCAAACACTGCCTGCATATATTCGAAAAAGAAAGAAGAAAGAAAGAAGTGAGACATTTTTTTAATTTTTAAAAGTTAAATTGAAAAATCTAGTCATATCATTTACTCACCCAAACTATAAAAAAAACCTTAGCGGAAATTTATCAAACACTTAGCGTGCAAGAGTCTGAATATCCACTCCATCAAAGCCTCAATTAAAATTCTTAAAAAGACAGATTCAAAAATCACCATCACCTGAGAGGTGGCATGCTCAAGATCCTGCACGGTAATTGGTTGATCTGACAACACGAAGTCGCCGGAGGGGAAACGTGCCAGGGGCTTGCGGCCCAAGTCCATGACGACCTCGATCAAGTGGTTGAGCTCCGCGTGCTCCCCGACTCTCCGGCGCATCGCTTCCGGCAAGAGAGACAGCAACCGCCCAAGCTCGACCTCGAAATCATCTCCGAGCAAGAAAGGAGCAGAAGACGAAGAAAGAGCTGATTTTGAAACGAGGGATCCGAGGAAGTTCGTGCGAAACCCGGAAAGCGGAGAGGAATTGGGGCTCTGGAACTGAAAACCAGTGCTTTGATGAAGAAGGTCGAGATGCTGGGATCTATGGCGAATCAGGAGAGATGAAGAGGAACTGTGCAGCAATGGGGAAGAAAGCATTGTCGTTTTGGCGGTAAATTATCTTCCAATGGGTAGTTATAATAGCACTCCGTAGTTATTAACCGTGAGGCCCAAAGTTATCTTACTTATTTTTGCTTTAAAAAATACTCCGTAATAATCATTTTGTGAATGTCCTTGAAAACATGTGGTGAAATTTTTGGACAAAATGTTTTCAGTATATACGGAGTAATATTTCTTTTTATTAAAAAGTTTGTACCAATTTTCTAATATATTAAATTGAAATAATTTTAGTCAAAAATTTTAAATGAAGATATGAATTTATTTTATGACGGTAGGAGTTTATGATTTCTTACACAAGCACACTTTAAAAAAAGTCATTTTAAGAATGTTTATAAAAATGTTATGTTAATATTCTTCTCGATATGTTAAAAATATGTGTTGGCAAAAATATAATTTTACTTTTTCAATCTTATAAATTTCTTACAATTCTTTTTTTTAGTGTTAATGAAAACATTATATCCCACATTTATATTTATAACATGTAAGAATTGATTGATGCAACAATAACCTCATGCTATAAATTTAACCAGGTAAAAGGGAATTATACATAATCATATTAGAGAGGCCTAACTCGGTAAGTAGGAATAAATAAGAAAGTAAGAATACAACAAAGTATGACTTAGATCGAAGAAAATTTACCAGTATCTAAATATATTTTTTACTCTATTTCAAGTGTGTACTGGTTTGTGAGATCAAAATTGAATGTCCTCTCTCCCTCTACAATATTAAGTGGAAAGAGTTTAGTCATTGACAAACTCAAATACTTTACACTATTCAACCAGTGACATGAAAATAAAGAAAATTAAATACATCTAATTCACTTTTACTATGTGTAGTATTTAATAATATTCACAAATTGGGGTGGTTCCCAAGTCCCCTCAGAGTCACATGTGTAACTAGGCCTATAGGTGGCGGTCCCACCTAATTGAGACCATTCAGACAATCTTGCCTTAAGAACCCGACCAGATAGTTTAGAAGAGCATCATCGAATCCGAAAAACTTCCATTTGGCAAGTTGAGAAATACGACTAGTCACAAAGTATGTGACTGATAGCCTTCAACGAATACTACACCGGTAACTTTATATTATATCTTGTTCTCTCATTTCATACTACACCGATAATATATCTTGTTCTCTCATTTCATCATAATTTGCAATACAAGAAGCTAATGTGATGGATTGATCATCACAATGCTTTTCTTGGTTTTACAGAAGTCTTAACACTCGACAAAAGGACTTCATCTCTAACATGGGACAATTTCTTCTTGTTGGTGGCAGTTTCCTTTAAGGGACTAGTGTTTGGTTGTAGCCTGCAATTTTCCCATGGGCGTACCGCTATCCAGCGCTCTACCCAGCTCCATCCCCAGCTCTCTTCCCCCACATCATAATATGCCTTCCCCAAGCCTTGATCCTTCCAATTCGCCCTCCACTGTTTTCGATCAACAAACAATCATTTGTAAGTAAAGTAAATAGTAGTGGCGTATCTAGAGAAAAAAAGATGTTGAAGCACACTATTAATACAGGGATCAAAGTGCAACATCTAATTGAAGTTTCTTCTTTTTTTGCCCTAATAATTACTAATTTATCTATCACGTCATATTTATTCATTATTAAATCTAATCACCACATTTTATATAAATGATAACCGTGGAAAGTAACATCAAAATTACACGTTCTTTAAATCCATTTTTTTGAATCCACTCCCACCTCCTTCAATATCACCTAAAATTTTGTTGAGTATTTAATATACTAGCCTGATGAGAGAAAGCATAAGCCATAGCTCTCTCTCTTTTAACAGCCGCTTCTTCCCTCTGTTGAATCCTTTGAAGAATTTCCTCCATTGTCTCTGGTCCACTGCTCCACTCCACCTGCTTGTCATTGCAGATATACACAAGTATTATAGATATATAATACGATATCTGTCCTAAAACATTCTTCCTATTTTAGTTTACGAGTTTTGCTTTAAATTATTTTCAATTTAATTTATGTAATTTAGGTGTATATATTTCAAAATTGAATCTAAAGATTTACAAAATAAAATGTGACATAACTATTTAATTTTATCAAATGAATAACAAAAATGTGTAAAGAATGATTTTACTTTGACTATATGAATAGTATTTGAAAAAAGTAAGAGGGAGGTTTAATTGACTTGGCTTTTGACATAACACCCAAAATTTTGTTGACTTAGATGTGACAAGTTTGAAGCTTATCAACACCTCAAAGAATGAAGTTATGTAAGTGGCAATATGTGCAATTGACCTGAAGCTCATGAAGTTTGGCTTGGAGTTTTATGTCATTTTGAGTTTTCTTGTGCTGGAGGCGACCGTCGATGACCATGCGGTGGCGACGAGCTTTGATCTCCGATTGGATTCGGCTCCATGAGTGGATGTGTTTTAGAGTTGTTGCGGCAACTTGTTGATCATTATAACCGCATCCATGAACGAGTAGAACTTCCTTAAATCTCATCGTCCTTCGGAGCCGACGCATGACTCTTCTTGCCTGCAAAAAAAGTTAAGGGAACCTTACAAACATTGTCTTTAACATTATTAGACCTGACAAAAAATGACCCGACCTGTTTATGACCCGAAACCTGACCTGAAAAAACTGGATTTTGAAAAAAGGTTTTGATAACCGAACTCGAAGTTGACCGAACCCGAAATGACCCGCTAAAAATGGGTCAAACCCAACCGAACCCGACATGACCAACCCGCTAAAGTAAGAATTTTTCAAAATCACACTTTATTACTCGTTTTTAGAGTATAAATTTATATTTTCAGACAAAATTTTAATGATATTACCCAATTACCTTACTTTGTTCCAAAACTTAAGCATTTTTTAAAGGGAGCGTCTAAAATGACACCAGTTACTTATACACCAGTCGCTTACACCAGCTCGTTTGGGGTATCTACGGTGCCCCGTTTGTAAAAATTACGGTTCCTACCCCCCCTAACCCTCCCCCTAAACCCCCCACCCCAGCCCCACACTGCCAAGGTAGGGAGGGGGGAGGGAAGGGGGCTGGGGTAGGGGGCAAGGGTGGGGGTGGGGTGGGGGGTTTAGGAGGAGGGTTAGGGGGGGTAGGAACCGTTATTTTTACAAACGGGGCACCGTAGATACTCCAAACGAACTGGTGTAAGCAAATGACACCAGTAGTACTGGTGTCATTTTAGACTTACTCTTTTTTAAATTCCTTATATTGATTTATATATCTAAATATTATTTCAGAATTTAAAATAAAATAATCTAATAGATTTAATCCTTTTTTTGATATTTTAAATTTATTAAATAGAAAACCTAAGTATTAATGTGAATTTAAAATTATTAAAAACCAAAATCATAACTCATTGGGTCGACCCGAACTCGATGACACTGAATCATGAACATACAGTTCTCAGCCTGAACCCGAATTGACCCGAACCCGAAATAACCCGAACTCTCTGGCCAACTGATTTGCCAGTTCTAAGCATTATAGTGTCTTACAGACACACACGTGCCCGTGTGCATTGACACGATGTCATCAAAGAGGGTGTAAGTATAGGGGCTTTCCCCTTCCATAGTGGTTCTATGATTATGCACCTAAGGTTCATAAAATTTAAGTGCACCGTGAATCTTAGGTCCAAAGTATAATTTGTCTTTGACATGGTTCTTATATAGAGTAAGAATGTGTTCTTTTTGCCGTAAACCAAAATTAACATTTGACTTATAATTTAAAAAATATTATATTGTATATTGACTAGAAAAAAAATATTTAGAAAGTATTATAAAGATAAATCTAGTAAATAGTTTTTGTTTTACTTAATAACAATTTTAATTTATTCATGTCAAAGTTTATTTATTTTGACTCTAAAAATCAAAACTATACAAACACACACTATGATACAAATGTATTTATAATATCTAAAAACAAACATAATTAATTCATGCATAAAATAAGCATTGAAAATTACCAAATGAGCCCGGAAAGCAGATTGGATTAAAGTGGCAGCGGCGTCTTCATCCAGTTTGGGGCCGACTGGTTTCCTCTTCCTTTTTCTTAATCCCTAAAGACATTAAAATAATTAGAACAATAATTAATTGGAAGTTAATAAATTAATTAAGTGAAGAAGTATATATTAAATGAATATATACATATATATAAACCTTTGCTACTCTCATCTTCAATCTCTTTAGGCAGTTGGTTGGTATAAACCATTTCCCAGAACCCATATTATTATTAGAGAAATTAATTGATTAATTATGCAGCTGATCAAGATTTATTTATACCCAAGAGAAATTAATAGTTTATTTTTTAAAAAAATGGAAAATGTGTTGAGAAAGGTGAAGTGTAGTGATCTATGTATAATCTATATAGGCATTTTTGATAACTTGAAATTGATTGAAGTGTTATGTTACCCCCTAAGAAACAGACATTCCAACCAAATGTAGTTGTCATTTAAGGCATTTATTATTTGGATTTGAAATAAAAATTGATAAATTTATTTTGGACTAGATGAAACTGGAAAAATATAGTACGATTCTGTTCTCTAAAATTAGAATTTCTTAGTTGAATCTTAGAAAAAAATGGAAGGAGTTGAAAAAATGTTGATAAAATTTTAGTATTAAACAGTCACTGTATTAAGTGATCATCTAAATAAATATGTAAGAAAATTTTAGTTTTGGATTAAAAATAATTCATCATTCTCCGTGTTTGATGTGATATGTTATAAACTTGAATTTATAATATTATTTTATATTAATCATACTCAAAAATATATCTTTTTAAGTCATTGTTTGAATAACTAGTAGGAGTTGGAAAGAATTAGAAGAAGTTGAAAGAACCTGAATGGAGTTCGAAAAACTTGGAAGATAATTTTTTTAATTCAAAAGAACAGACGTAGTAGATGAAAAGAAAAAAGAAATGAAAATATCATATAGAAACCAACTTTCTTGTTCTTGTTTGGTCAGAAAGAAATAAAAAACAAGAAAAAAGTATAAGAAAAACAAACTAAGATTAAAACCGGAAGAAAATTCATTTTTTCTTTTTTTAGTGCATTTTCATCTCATATATATTTTTCTGATGGAGGATATCCTCCAGAGGCTGACGTCATCCGGGCCCCTTGCCCGCATGGAGGAGCGCTGCGCTCGGACGAGTCTGCTCGCGCTCGATCTACGACCTCGGTTCGGGTCCCCTGAGCTCGGATCGGCTACATGACATCGATGAGGAGAAAGCGACCGCGATAGCGACGGGATGAAAGGGACAAGACAGAGAGGCTGATGACGTCCGCTAGGCGACAAACCTCGATCAGAGGGCTTTGACCAATTGTATTATATCCCCTATAAAAGGGGTGAGACCCCTCATTGTAAGAGGATCCAAATTCTAAGTGAATATATTCCTACTTTGTATTTTTTCTCTCTAAAATTCTTATAATTTAATATATTCGGTGGTTTATAGCCATCATTTTCTTCTCTAAATCAAAATTCCATGAATCAAAGATGGCATAAATGAAACATAGTGTAAGAGCATCACCACTCATTTTTCTCTATTCTTCGTCTACATCAACTGCTTTCAATATTACATCATTTTCACCTTCAATTTCTTCACACTTCTCTAATCAGTCTGTTACTTTTTTTCTAACTATATTTTCTATGTGTCATCTCTTCATTTATATATAAAAAATTAAAAAATAATTACCCAATCACTTTATTCTCTCTCTAGGGGTCTTCATTCTTTGTTTATCTCAACTTTATTGGGCCAAACATAGCATTAAGGATATCTATAATCCTAGGGGACCTGACTTAAAAAGGCTTCGTATGAAGAAGTCGGGTTTGGTTTTGGCCCAACAATTGAACTATGCGTCTTCAAAAGCCCAGTTCTGTGACTCCTGTCCACATCTGAGTTGAGCGAAAATTTTGACTTTAGAGCAACATTAATTTTGTACTAGTAATAGATACTTAAATATGACGTCAAGTGGCAACTAGGTCCCGTAGCTCAGTTGGTTAGAGCGTTGGTCTTATGAGCCGAAGGTCGCGGGTTCGAGCCCCGCCGGGACCATTTTTTTTTCAAATTTTAAACTCGTTTTTTAAAGAAAAATGCGAAAGTTAAAAAAATAAAAGTGGCCCCGGCGGGGCTCGAACCCGCGACCTTCGGCTCATAAGACCAACGCTCTAACTAACTGGGGTACGGGACCAATTTGACAGCTTACCGTTTGAAGCAAGAATCAAACGTTTTCTGAATTTTGTTTCGTTGTTGATACAATATATCCAACTAAAAATTACTAAACCGTCACTATTGTTGCACCTAGAAAAAAGCTAATGTAATCTCTCCGATCTTAAAAATTCTTCTTGTTCTAATATGGAGTATTTTTTTCAAAAACTGACAACCTTTGACCACAAATTATGCAAAAATATATTGAATTATAATATAAATTCAATATAACTCAGATTCATCTTAGAATATATACTTTTGATATATCAAATTCTTAAAACATTTATTTATTTCATTATGTTTAATTAATAAATTATTTAATTAGATACTCTGTACTAGTTATAAAAATTAAAACGTATCGTGTTATATAAGGAAATGTATTATGTTTTAGTGTCATTTAAGTAAATTTTTCTTAAAAAAATCATGTATCACAAAATAGTGAAAGCAAACCAGAGCAATACTTACTGTAGTGATGCAAAATGTGATCAACAAGCTTGCTTCTTATTCTAAATACGAACTTAGGTCAGATATGATTTTTAATGGAAAAATAGTTTCTTTTTTTTTTTAAATGAAGACCACATTATCTCGCAATACACAAACGGCATAACATAAATATCGGGTCAAATTCTTGCATAAACTAAGGTATATGTGGATCTTCATATAAATTAAAGGAAAATTTACAGCAATGCTCCGTAAATTTTCTAATTTTACAAAAATATTCTGAAAATTAATTACTTGCACCATTATTGTCACAATTGTTCTATTTTTACAAAAACACTTTACCCGCCACTTGAGTACTTGCACGATCATATTGTGTAATATGTACATTAATTCTTAAGTTGATGATGACTTGGAAAATAAATTACCTTTTTTCAGTTTTCATAATTACTTAATTTTCCTCAGACTAAAATATCAATCTCTTACTCTAAGAGTTTGTTCTTTTAGATTGGAAAAGTTAACTTTCAATTCTTTTTAACTCTTTTCGATTTTTTTCAGCTTTTTAGGTACAGTTTCTTCCAACATTCAAATTTAGAATTCCAACCAAAAGTTACATGCCCTAATTGTGAGAGACGTGAATTCCAACCGATATTTGAGTTGGAGGAAAAATAAGTAATGTATTTTTTATGAAAACCAAAAAGTAAGTTTTTTTCAAATCATCACTTCAAAAATCTATTCCGGTCTTACACAATTTTATTGTGCAAGTAAGGTTGGTGGGTTGAATTCTTTTGTAAAAAGAGAGCAATTTTGGGAGTAATATAACGGTGTAATTAATTGATTTTTTGAGTATTTTTGTAAAAACAGAAATTTGTCGAAGTATTGTTGTGAATTTTTCCTAAACTAAATAAACATTTTATTGCTATTAAACTAAGATTTTTTATTTGTTTATTTTTTTAAAAAATAAACAACTTAAAATCTTTGCATGGAGGTTCCTCATATAACTTCTCAAATCTCGTACAAAAAAATAATCCGTAATAATAATGGGACGGAATCTGTACAATATTTATTAAATTTATCAAAATGGAAATAAAATTTTCCACGTGTTTGGTGATGATATTTTGTCCCAATAACCAAACATGGAAATGAAAACTACATCTAACAAAATTTGTTCATAGATACTTGAAATGGAAATTTTTAATTTCATTAATTTAATCAATAGGCAACCTAGCTAGGATCTTGATTTTGACACATAAATCGTCTCATCCCCAAGTTCACATTTGTCAATTTTCAACCTCTTCACACACAATAAATTAATTATGTGACATTTTTTTTTGTAATGTCTCCAATACTTCCTCACCAAATTTTACTAAAAATATGGAGTAATAATAAACGTTTAGCTTATGTTTAATCATTCATTTCCTAAAATACTTCCTAAGTTAATAACTATTTTCTCTGTCTAAATATAATTAAATATCTTGTTTTTAGCTCAGAGAGATTGAGGATGTAGACTCGTGCACGCGGAAAATTGAGAGTGGGCTTCAAGTGACATGTCAGGGAGCCCGAACTCGGCCGTTCTGTAATGGGCCAAGCCCGGTCATTCCGGAGGAATCGAGTTGGGCCATTCTTCATGCTAATATAATGGGAAAAAATTATAGAGAATGATTGTATAGTGATAAATATAATGAACATTTTATTAAATTCTTGTATTCAATATAATGCTCACATGATAGGTTTTTTCATATAACTAATTAACTATACAATGAATGAACTTATGATACGTTATACGTAGTATTATTTGCTTAGAATCGAGTTTAAAATAGAAACTTATAACCATAATATGCTCTACACTACGGAGTACAAAATTTAAAAAACAACTAACCAATTACATTGTGACACGTAAACAAAATACATGCAAAACTAGTGAAGCCGATCCCATTAAACAAACAAAAAGACCATATAAGAACCATAAACTTTCTCACCAAATATTTATATACTTGTATTTATTTATTTTATTATTATTTTTAAATTTGTTTATGTAAAAAGATTCATGATAAAAGCACTCAAAAAGTTCACTCCAGCATCTTGACATCTCATGAGCAGTCAGTCTCTCAAACAAGTAAATTTTGAAATCTTTTTATAATTTAAAAGTTAAGATAAATCACATATTAGAATCCCTAAGACCGACTAAGACTAATCTAAAATGACATAAATTAAGGGGCTGTTTGTTGCAACCTCTTAATGGTTCAGATGTCTGAATGGTTCAGTACTTAATGGTTCAGACTGTTTGTTTCAACCTCTTAATGATTCAGATGTCTGAATGGTTAAGAGATTTGCCTCTGAATGGTTGAGTATTATACAGAGTCTGAATGGTTAAGACTTCTTATCTGAATTGATCAGACATTTGCCTCTAAATAGTTTAGCGATATACTAGCTCTTAATGGTTCAGACCTCTTACTGGTTCAGCACTTACCTATTCAGAAGTTGCCAAATAACCCCTAAATTTTAATCATAAACTGATTAGTAATGTTTTTATTTGTCTCTAATAGGAGAAGAAATGTACAAATAATAATGCAAAAAAAAACTTGCATATGTTGGAAATTGATTCGGTGGGTG